ATTAGTACAGATCATTTTGGCGAATTGTACAGCGCCTAGAGCAGGCATGGATAGGCGCTATATAAATATTTATTTATTATTATTATTATTATTATTCCTCTGGAAATAAGATGCTGATCACTGTCATGGAATGCACCTGAACTAGAAGCCAGGGGTTTCAACAAAACAATGGCCCCCTGTCAGCTGAACCCCTTCTAACCCCATAAAAAAATCAACAGGAAAAAAATTTAAAAGCCCAGGGCTCTGAATGGGACCAATTCATTAATTCATGTTAAACTCATCAACAAACAATGAGCTTAGGGAATGGTGCCTAAAAGGCTGATGGAGCCCAAGAGCAAACTAAACTGAGCATGTGAGGTATCCATGACAACCCTGTGAGCTGCAACCACCAGGCACTGTCACACTGAAAAAATAGTGGAAACACAGGAAACTTACCACATACCTACCCTCAAGCCAAAGGGGGATGGGTGGGCTGCGAGAAAAGCTTAATGAGCATTGTCCAGCAGCGAAAAACACAGAGAATGATTTGACATCCGAAGCTGAGGTGTAAAATCCAGGCGCCCCTGCAAAAATCCCCTGGCCACCCTGAACTCACTCTGAGGGAGACTGCTGGCCAGCAATCTTGTTACGCGTTTAACTTAGCCTAAATTACATTTAGCCACATTGAAAGTTCCAAGAGAAAGGTCAAAAACCTGCCTTGTGTCCTCCATCTTGGAAATTTCAGATAAGCTTAATTTTCCTTGAACATTCTGTTGACTTTCTAGCAGGGTCAGTTGTGGGGACCAGTAGGGGGTCAGCTGACTGGAGGTTTCAGTGTTTTATTGAAACCCACAGGCAAAATTTACAGGGGGTAGGTTTGTGGTTGAAAAGATCATCCATGTCCAAGATACAGAAATGGGTAACTCGTCAATGTAGGCTTGTGATTTACAGTATCTGTGGAAACTGTAAAAGTAGCAGTCAATCTGGTAATGATCTGTAAAATTTTTCTAATTATCCAATCATAATAGGAACTTAGCTTGTTAACATAATTTGTGGATTGCCAGGCACAAACATTTTGTCAATTCGTACAACTTGTGTAAATAGTGAAAGCGTTTGAAGAGACACTCACAATCTGTTAGTTGCAACCCAAGTAAATGTGTAAGCCAAAGAAGATACAAAGTCCTGTAAATGTTACCTGAAGAACTTGAACATGACTCAGTCGTATATCTCTTTCTATAAGCGTGAGCTGCGAACTATCATACCTCGTAACACACCAAATTTTGTCTTGCAGAATGGATAAATAAATGTAGTGAGCAAAAATAAATCATGCCTGTTTGGGTGCATTGGACAACCCAATTTTGGTCATTTGGAGCATTATCTGTTATCTAGATGTACTACATGTACCAAAAACAAAATTCTCACAACCAAAGTTAAAAGAAATGTATGGAAATCAGTCAAGAGAGTCTGAAACTACACAGAGCACTTGCTGACAAACTTACTCTAGTGAGTCCATGGCTGATAAATTTTTGTTCTATAGGAAAATACATGTCTGTGAATATGATGGGAAATGTCACTGGTCGATCTGAAGCTATTGGCCCTCAGGAGCAATTTGAGTGTGTATTTGAAGAGGATAATGTTGCTCTTGAAACATATAATGGCTGTTTTTTGTCTGTAAATGAAGATGGACATCTCTCTGCAACCAAAAAAATTGTGAGCGAAAAGGAGACATTCCACATACGGACCACTGTTCCAAAAGTGTAAGTGGAACCATTTTTTATATTGGTAACTGTGAAGTAACTGTTGTGGTTTGATTGTATTTGTTTGAAGTTTTTCAAGGAAGTTTGTTTTTTTCACTTCCTCTTGTCTTATGATTCATAATTAAAATCAGGAAGAAAGGAAAATTACAATTCAAATGAAAAGTATATAAACCACAACATGACAGAATGTAGCAGTGTTGAAACAAGGTATTTATTTTTACTCTCTCTGCAAGACTATGGTTATTATTTACTTCTCAAAATGAGAATATAATTATTATGAGTGTAAGTTTTCTATTAGCTGCACCTACAATTGGGAATAATTTCCCCCTCTGAATGGTAAGAATGTGGTTTGTCAGGAAACAGTCGTTAATTATTAAAAGAATCAAAGAACCTGTTGGTGGTATCTGATTAGTTGGCAAGCAATGACATGGATGGCCATTCTTCATACTGCTCCCCAACTAACCAAATGCCTGGAACAGGCTACAAACCTATGAAATTAATGATTTGCATTTCAGTGCAGTAAGTATAATTTTTTAATCAAACAGTTGCTTGTTTGTGATTCAGTGGGTTGCCACCTTATGAGTGATACAGCTATTTGGTAATTCAGAGTTTTGGCTGGCATGAAGCAGTTTTAATTTTTTTTTTTTGCTAGCTAGTTGAAAGTTGCATTCACTGGTTCAAAGCATTTAGTAATTATTACCAGTCCACTGAAAAAAAAAGTCAGGTTGACCTTTTCTATGGGTAAATCAGCTCCTGGTTGGCTTGATAGCACAGTTGGTAGAACACTGCTTCAGTATCAATATCATACCTGAAATTTTTCAGGCTTCTGTTTTAAAGTTGCAGACTTAATATGCATCAGTGTTTGTCTTTAAGTGGTTGTTCTTCTTACAGTTCAAAATACAGTATGGGATAGTAATGATAATTTCAGTTTTACTAAGATATTAACTTCATGGTTTATTGCAGCAAGGTATCTACCAGCAGTCTACCAGAGGATGAAAAGGATCTACGAAATCATGAAATCAGTTTTGTCAAGAAATTCCAAAGTTTTCAAGACAGAAACCTGCGTTTAAGTGAGCAAGAGACAAGCAAACTGAAGAAAGCGAGAATGGATGGAAAGCTTCATGAAGAAATGTTGGACAGGAGAGAAAAGATGAAAGCGGATAGGTATTGAAAAAAAAAAAGAATAAGATGAAAATACAGTCCAACAGCTTTTAACTAAACATGGCAGGATTTTCAATACCATATGAAAGTATTTACTCGGGTTTCTACTACATAAAAATCTTAAACGCTACTGATACTTACCTACAAACATCATCCATTTGTTTGATGCAAGTCCAAGAAAAATATACAAGCAAATGGATGTGAAAGCGCCTGTAATAGCGATGGTGAGATCTGACCAATTGAGAATCTTATTCATTAGTGGTATCCCCAAAACGACCCCAATACCTTTAAGAAACAGAACCTCGGCAAAGAAGTAACCAATCTGTGAAGGACTGAAGTTGCGTGGACTGTGCTTGCTGTAGATAGCTGTAATATCATTGAAACCACCAAAAACTGAAAGCAAAGTGATAGTAAAAAGACATAATTAACAGTAAAAATAAAATGGTAATCATTTTCGGGAAATATGATCCATACCCACCTCCAAAGAAGAATTAAACATGATTATTTGCCTTTATTTGCTATTATGTTTTTTTTTTCCCAGACACCCGTCCCTAAATGCTTTGGTAAGGTAACAGGTAAAGTCTACATAGAGCCATGTGGCCCATCAAGCAGGCGCAAATATCTCCGGTTTCTGTAGCATGAAGTGACTAGGAGTATTTCTACTTCCCCCTGGATGGGATGCTAGTCCATCACAGGGTTACCCCCAGCATTAAATTCTCTAGTACTCACTTATACACCTGGGTGGAGAGAGGCACTGTAAAATTAAAGCGTCTTGCCCAAGAACACAACACAATGACCCCGACCAGGACTCAAACCTGGACTGCTAAATCCGGAGTCGAGCACATCAACCATGAGGCCACCACGCCTTCCAACGCCTTGATACATTATCTTTACCATAAAAAAGGTACTCACTTATTAGAATAAAAGGCAGCGCACCAAATGTGATCACCACTAAATTCAGTCTCTGATGTCGGGGTCGTTGCTTGGATAAAACTCGGAAGCAAGCCTTGAGGTGATTGTGCACAGCAACTAACGCCCAGTTTCCTTCCTGATCTCCTTCCGGGAAGTAAGACTCTGGAAGAATTAAACTAACGTAGAGTATAACGATAACATTCAAGCCTAAACACAAACCGAATGCCGCCATAAAGCCCTGATGTTCCACTAGCACGCCACCGATTAGGTTACCAACAGTGCCTCCTAAAAATATCATGGACTCCAGAATGGCTACTCTCAGAGTTCGCTGAGATTTATCAGTGATATCAGAAATGTAAGAAAAAACACCAAGAAGCGTTGTGGCAAATCCACCAAAGAAACCCGAGATGCAGACTCCGATAAGGATGAAATTCACGTCAAGTGAAAAATACCCCACATTCAGCATGTAATTGATGTAAAGTAGAACGCTTCCAATGGAAGGCAGAATTAGCACTGTTTTGCGGCCGACTTTATCTGACCAGGAACCCAAGATCAAGGAGGCAGCAATAGAAGGTACCATCAGAGAAACAGATTGATACAAAATCCATTTCGACGTTTTTTCGTGTACAAAATCTTCTTGTGACTTGGTCAGGTTTTTGCATGTTTCGGCGCCATACTTATCGTAACAGATCTTTTTAAATGCTAGCTGCTGTATCAGTGGAAATGACATGAAAGTGCATAGCATGTAAAAGAAAAGAACGGGCTCCACAGTGATTTTCCGAAAGTCGATGATCGCCATGTTTGTTCCTTGACCTGGGTATAAAACGAATCCCTTACATGAATGGCAGATTGGTGTTGTCCGCTACCGCTGGAGGAAGCCGGGGGGGGGGGATAGGCGGTAGGGGAGTAAATGGGGAAAATGGAGGAATGGCGAAATGGCGAAATGGGGAAATGGGAGAATGGGAGAATGGGAGAATGGGAGAATGGGAGACTGGGAAACGAGGAATGGGAATGAGGAATGGGAATGAGGAATGGGGAATGGGAAATGGGAAATAGGGAATGGGATATGGGATATGGAAAATGTGAAATGGAGAATGGGGAATGGGAAATGGGGAATGGGGAATGGGAAATGGGAAATGGGAAATGGGAAATGGGGAATGGGGAATGGGATATGGGATATGGGATATGGGATATGGGGAATGGAAAATGAGAGACGGGAAACAGGAAACGGGAAACGGGGTTTGCGGAGTGGGGAACGGGGAATGGGGAATGGTGAATGGGGAATTGAAAATGGAAAATGAAAAGAAGGAATGAGGAATGCGGAATGGAGAATGGGGAATGGGAAATGGAGAATGGGGAATAAGGAATGAGGAATGAAAAATGGAAAATAAGGAGTGGGAAATGAGAATAGGGAATGGGGGAATTGGAAATGGAGAATACGGAATAAAGAATGGAAAATATGGAATAAGGAATGGAAAATATGGAATAAGGAATGGAAAACGAAAAATAATGCCTGGGGAATGGGTAATGAGGAATGGGGAATGGGTAAATAGGGAAATGGGAAAATGGGGAAATGGAAAATGAGGGAATATGAAATGAGGAAAGGGGAATGGGGAATTAGAAATAGAAAATGAGGAATGAGGAATGAGGAATGAGGAATGAGGAATGAGGAATGAGGAATGAGGAATGAGGAATGAGGAATGAGGAATGAGGAATGAGGAATGGGGAATAAGGGATGAGGAATCGAAAATAAAACATAAGGAATGGGGAATAGGAAATGAGAAATGTGGAATGGGGAAATGGGGAATGGAAGTTATCCGAAGGTGTGCATATAAAGTTTTTAAACTGCAAAGCTGTGAACGAAGATCCTGTTTGATTGAACATTGGATCTTACAGGAGATCTAATCAGCCAAACTTGAAAAGTAAAATGATGAGAAGTCAAGGACTACTGCAAGGCCGACACATCATGGTATATTTAAAACAATATTTCAGCTGGCCAGACCAGGCTTCTTAGGGTTTAGGTGTTACTAAATTATAAAAATGAAATTACAATATTATCTAGTGGTGGATGTCATAGCACATAAAAAGGATTGGCGGAAATAAGGAACACTGACAAACTAAATAAAGTAAGGATAACACGCGTCTATGTAGGTTACAAGTTTTACTATTCATCATATCTATTCATACTGTGGGGTTCTAATGTCCCCGCTAAATCTATAAAAAGGACCCTCTGGCTTTTCTGATTGAACTACGTGAGGAGTGGATAAGTTCAAGTGGGATAAGTTGCTTGTCAGTGTAGCAATAATCAGGATGAGAAAGAAAATGTTCGGCAACAGTGGTGGATCTGGATTTAATGTTAGTTTTATCAACAGGGCATCTATGTTCGTTGAATCTGTCTTTGAGAGGTCGCTTGGTTTCTCCAATGTATTGTAAATGGCAGTGGTTACACTGTATCATGTACATTAAATTTTTGGTGCTACAGGTTATGTGTGAAGTGATGTGATGGGTAGCAGCTGTGGAGAAGAAAGTATAGTGTGTATGGCCATTAGTAATGTAAGGACAAGTAGCGCAATCTTGTCCAGTCATAGACACGCACTTTATTAAGACACGGTAAAAACATCAGTTACAAGATTGAGATTTAAAAAAAGGATTTACATGTTTGCTGTGTGGGAGTGTGGGGAGGACTGTTGGCGATTAATCTCATTTCTTAAGTTAATAAAAGATCTAATGGCTCTGATGGAATGAGCCCAGTGGTAAACTAGTTTTGTTAGGAGTCGTGATAGTGCATAGGTACAAACCTTTGCTTTTTTATATAAATATTTTAAGAACTATTATTTACCACTAATTTTTTTATAAGTCAACCAGCTAGCCAATAAATACATGGCCCAGAGATATGTTATTGAACTAGAAATATTGTTCAAGTTTCTATTTGTGCAGCAACACTTGTCAACAGCGCATAGAAACAAGACAACGAATACACTTTGTTTGAGTTCTTGGATTTCAAATTACTTACATGTACATCAGTAAGACTTGAATCAGGCAAAGGCCTTTGCATTCAGAAGTAAGCTCAAAGAGCTCTTTGATTTTTGCAGTTTTATGGACCGAGTTGCAGTTGAGGTCCATAAACAAAACATTCATGTCCTTATATATCCCTGCAGCTTGAAAAAAGGTACTGTTTTTTGGGTGGCATCTTCGGTCATCCTCCGGGGTGTGTGGTGAAATTGTGAAATGATGAAATGATGAAATGGCACTATATATGGGTAAGAGTTAACTTGGGATATGGGTATCTGTAAGGGTTAACCCCCTTGAGGGTGGCCACTGCAGGAAGGTTTCAATAAAAGAAAAAAAAATCATAAAAAATAATCATAATTTATTCCACTTTATTGCAGGCCGTATACAGAATTAACTAATGCCTGAGGTAGTTACAATAAAAATAGTGCAAGCCCAATATGGATTGGTGCACAGTTTGGGCAAAACCTCCCACCCCTCCTGCATATCATGTGTTCATACATTTCTGGGTGCACAACAATTGAGGCAAGAGCAAAATTATAACTTGCCCCAACTTTTGTGTGACCAAAAATGGGAAAAAACCCCCTAGCTTATCTTTATTTATCATCTGACACACCATCTGTGGTCTGTGCAGTACTCCATTGAACCTTGCAAATCACACTAACAATGTTTGCCATAAAAATTATCTAAATATTTACATAGAATAATCTTATAACATTTCAGGTCATATAAAAATTGTTATACAATTTTAGGTCATTTGCATAAAATTATTGAAATATAATTAAATAATCATATAATTGGAAATGTATTTTACATGCCATTTTCTCTTCACTTTCCATTTTATTAAGCCTGTTTTGACTCATTGTTAAGTATGTCTCCAGAAATGAGTTTTTTGTAATTTAATTTTCACATTTTTAACGTAGTTTGGTAAACATTATTAGGTTATTTTTTTAATTTATAATTTTATTATGAAGTTCTGAGAGAAACAAGGTATGTTGGGTAAAAAAATAATAGTAAAAATTCAGATTATAAAGCCTCTTGACTATAAGCCCATAAGCTTACATATATATATTTTTCATATTGTGTGGTTCCAGAAAATATCCATACTCCCCCCACAGAAGGAATTGGAATTTCCTGGGGGAGGGGGCTCTATGAGACCAAAAAATTTAAAGAAATGTATGAAGCTTAACTGGAATTTCCAGTAGGGGTGGGGAGGTGTTAGAAAAAATCCCTTCTGTAGCAGATGTATGGATATTTTCTGGAACTACACATATAACCCCCCTGAAAACTACACATTTTAGAGTACAGTACTACACATTCAACTTCTTGTAATATATTTTTTAATAACCCCCCCACTCCCCTACTACAGAACTTGCTTTGTATTATTTTCTTGTTTTTAGAGTACAGTACAGCCTTGTCTAATTTCAGTCAGTTTTATCCAACTTTCTCCAGTCTCAATTTTCTGATTTTTTTCAATGGGTTAAATAGGTATTGTGTTGATCTAGTCTTCAGCTGCACAGGCAGCACAAAAAATTGACGAAATTTATCATTTGTTACCTTGTCTATAACTTAGCATAATTAATGAGAAGAATGTGACTCACAGAACACTGCTTACTTCAGAGAGGCACATTCCACTCCATAAATCATAATTACCCTCATTTCTTATATTTTTTATGAGTCTGGACTGCTAGAGGAGTCAGTAAAGAACATCATAACATGGCTAGTCAATCTGTACATAGTACTTTTACTAACAGGTCATAAATATTCTGATCAGTGCCGTAGCAGTATGAGGTGAACTGAGGCTCTTGCATCAGGCCTTTTTTTTTGTTTTTGTTGTTGATTTTGTTTGTTTTTTGAAGAGGGACAGTAACATACTGCTAGCAAATAAAAAAGAGAATTTAACTGTGGTAATGGCCTCAGTCATAATATTTTTTCTGAATACAGCCCTGTTGATTATTGAATTAATGTTGCATCAGTGAAACAATCTAATGCTGTTGTGGCTTAGTTTCTGCATCATGACCCTGATGCTGCCTTGGCAAGTTCCTTGTTGCTATTTGCAGAACTTTCCAGATCTGGTTATTGAACACTTGTGTCCATTGTCACGTAAGGATTGCTGCGTTGCTCTAACATATACAACCATCTACAGGAAAAAAAAAACCCAACAACAACAACAACAACAACAAATCAAACAAACATTGGGGGGAAAGGTCACTAAGGTCATAATACCTATAAGACCTGTAAGATATGCACTTTAGTGATTGTAACAAGAGTGTCTGTCTCTAGCTGTCCTGGGTAAACAAATGTGTCTCTTCATGGTCTCAATATTTCCACATACCTAGCGCTGTCTGTGTTAATACATAGGGATGTCTGAGTTAATACCTAGGGATGTCTATGATAATACCTAGGGATGTCTGTGATAATACCTAGGGATGTCTGTGATAATACCTAGGGATGTCTGTGATAATACCTAGGGATGTCTATGATAATACCTAGAGATGTCTATGATAATACCTAGGGATGTCTGTGTTAATACGCAGGAATGTCTGTGTCAATACCTAGGGATGTCTGTGATAATACCTAGGAATGACTGTGATTGATTGATCTTTATTTGCCCCATAAATTCATCAATTTACAGCGATGTAATTACAAATCATATATATTTCATAGAGTACGAGTTCCCAACAAACCCTGTTGGGCTTACAAGGAGAGTCCCTATTAATACCTAGGGATGTCTGTGAAGACATCTGTGGAGCTTCAAAAAGCATTTGTTTACTCATACTCACGCTAGCTTGTGATTGGGTTGGGGCAATCTGGGTACACCACACAACAATACACATGTTGAATATCAGACATATTTACTCACGTAAGCAAGAAGATAGCAATAACATTTAGCCCTGACATTAAAAAGTAACAAAATCCTGGAAGCCATTCCACCGTGGCACTGTAGATATTGTTAAAGATGATGGAAGCTAAAAGTGTGTCCAGCACTTCCAAGGATGCAACAAGAGCAAATGTTGTACCTGCAGAAACAAAACTAATTTTAAAAACTGAAGACTAAACCCATCTGAGTTGCTTCATCTAAGGAAGGCTGTCAGTAACAAACCAACTCATTGGAAATCAGTTCGCATACCATAAGCTGAACTGGGAGGGAAGAGAGTGTAGAGAAATCATCTCCATTTTCCAAACTGCCAATGAACATTTATTACAAAAGCTCGATGTGCAAACTTCTGCTTTCCAGTTCACAAAGGAAGAAGTGCTTGTCCTCATAGCTCAGTCTGGCTGACAGGGCACGATTCCATCACAATCTTACAAAAACATACAGTGTAGAATAACTGTCCTACAAAAAGTCAACAAAACTTTACATGCCTCCTTTGTAAAAGAGTCATTGATCAAGGATTTGAGTTAGCCTGAGTGGGGCATCAGTTTTTCTGCTCCAGCTCATTATGTGGTTCCCACTTGCCACTAGCTTGCACATGGAAGGTTAAGGAACAATTTATGATAGAGGATTCTGACAAGATAGTTGGTAAAGAAGTGGCTCTTATCAATCAGGGGAAAGGGTTCTGTAAGTCGACCATGAAAAAACTAGCAACCAAAAGTATGGTTGGTAATAAACTCTGCCCCACAAGAAGCTGTCCCTCTGAAGTACTGTCAGGGAAACTGAACCCTCAGAGCAGTTTTCAATTGAGTACCATAACAACAAAGCCAAACCAATTATTTACCAATTGGACTTCTCAGCCAATCTCAAACTAAAACCAAAGTAATTGCCTAATCACTTGTGACACTCGATTGCCAAAAACTGCTTTATAACAGATGTGCAAAGTTAAGTTTCTAATTGTCAGAGCAAAGTCACTTTGCTCCGACAAAGTCCCAGGGTGTAATAACGACTGATGATGATAACAGTGGCTCCTTTAAAGGAAGAGGGGAATGAATGTGATTTGGTATTCTCTGAGTTACAATGTAGAGGTTAAAAGTAAAGTCTGTGTTGGGCCAAGTGGTTCATACTGCCCAAACTTACACTGGTTCCCATAGCATTGAGTAACTAGGTGTATTTCTACTCCCCCTGGATGGAATGCTAGTCCCATAATAATTTTATTACTTTTAAGTAAAATTTTATAGCATAACACAAATCATAAATATCAAGTGGCTGACTTACCTAGCTCAGAGGATTCCACTTGTTTTGAAATGATTGATCTCAGGCAAGGTGGCGGGATTCCAGCACCTACAGCAATCAGTCCACCTACAAAGAGCAAACAGCATTACAGTAAAGGCATTTTCAATCATTGTTGTGGTGTCTGAGAACAATTTCTAACTTTTTATCTTTTCACCACCATCTAACTGTACACAACCTGATAAAAACCTTCATTTTAATTTTAACTTGATAATGAGCTTGGCGAACCCTGTTTTTTATATTTGTAGAAATGTTATCAGCATAATAAGGTAATTGAAACCTTTAAATTTCTTTTTTTTTCAGGGCCACCTTATTGTTTTGCAAATTTGAAATTGCTCTGAACCCCCACCAGAGATGTTTCTTAAACTTGTTTCTCAATAGTTATGCTTAGCTACAACTTGGCTATCACTGCTGACCTCTGTTTGAGAGGCAAAATATGCTGTAAGCCATAAATGGGAAAAATTTGGCTGTGTGAAACAAAGCCACTTTAATTTCAAGTTAATAAAGATAAACTTACAAAGCCAAATCTGCCTTGCAAAGGTGAGGGCAGAAAAATTGCCCAAAAGAAAAGTTGCTTAAATTAGGATAATGATAAAGTCAGACTTAACATGAAAAATATGGCGAACAAGCTGTTGTCTAACTTATGAAAACAATGCCGAAACCTGAGGCAATAAGACATTCAACTAAGGAGGTGAATTGGGGTGGAGGATGGAAAAATTTGTAACCAGCAAGGGTGCAACTCAAAAGCAAACTGTTTCCAAAACCGTTTGTTTAGGACATCACATATGCCATGTATGTGACATCAAATGAAACCTTAGATCGGCAGCTTGATTCAACATCAGCTGCCCCAATCATTCAATCCCAACCCCTCTTGGTTAAAACAAGATTAAAATGAAAGCAAGCAAGAGCAAAGATGTTCGCTTTGCTCCAAGTAAAAGAAAAAGATAGGCAAAGGCATAAAACTCTTTATTCATGAAACAAATAAATCACACAAATACTTACCAACAAACATCATCCATCTGTTTGATGAAAATCCAATAAAAGGATAAAAGCCAGTAGCTATGAAAGCACCAAAAATAGCGATGGAAAAATCAGACCACTTGAGAACTTTTGTTAATAGTGGTATTCCTAAAACCACTCCAACACCTTTGAGAAATAGAAACTCAGCAAAAAAGTAGCCAATAAGTGATGGACTGAAGTTCAGTGGGCTGTGCTTGCTGTAGAGGACAGTAATATCACCAACAGCACCAAACACTGAAAATATTAAAGCACAGAACATTTGGTGGGATTCATTAAGAACATTGTGAATAAAGAGCTGACAAAGAAAGCCAAAATTTATGAAGATAAGTAACGAAAAGAATAAATTTAAACTGAACTTTAAGTGGGTATGTGGGGTTAATGACCTTTGAAAGGTATAGGTACTGTTAGTTGTTTATTATAACATCAGACAAGAAAGCTTAAATTCTCTGAAAGCCATTCATTCAATCAGTCAATCGGTCGGTCAGTTGGTCGGTTAGTCGGTTGGTTGGTCGGTCCGTCAATCAGTCGATCCCTGCTATTTTGCTTGCAGTCTAGAAGATATGTGTTCTCTAGCCTCTTTGTTGACTGACAATACTTCACACAGTCAATTCAGTTGCTAGTTCTAAGGTCCCCTAATGGTTAACACACTGGACTCTGGATTAAGCAGTCTGGCTTTGAGCATTGGCCAGGGTCACCGCATTGAGTTACTGAGCAAGATAGTTTATTCACAGTACCTCTCTCCACCCAGGTGTATAATGGGTACTGGTAAATTCAATGCTGGGGATAACCTTGTGATGGACTAGCATCCCATCCAGGGGGAAGTAAAGATATCCCTGGTCACTT